TTGTCATTAGAAATATTTCACAGTGTACAATGACATATTGTTTTTGTGATTAATCACTATGCTTTAATGTTCAATTTGTCACAATGAAAATACATCCTGCATATCAGATACTTACATGACGATTCATAACAGTAGCAAAATGACAGTGATGAAGTAGCAAGGAACATAATTTTATGGTTGGGGTCACCACCCCATGAGGAGCTGTACGAAAGGACCACTGCTTTAGAGCTTTGGGTTAACGGACTGAATTGCCTAGGGACAAGTAGGACCTGGGGACACACTTCTTTTGTGCTGCTTTGTAGCATTTCACTCTCTACTTGTCAAAAATCTTTCTTCTTAGGTCCTCACACCGTTCTTGATAGAGTGCTTAAATATTTTTAATCTTAAAAATGAAAAAAAAATTGCATTCTGACTGTACTTCTTCCAAGACAGAATTGTTCCTTCTCCTGGCAGTCCTTGGTCTGTTCCACGCCCTTCGCCAACACCACCGTTCAAAGCGACCATTCTTCCTGTGAACTTCCTTACTCGTGGTCTGTCACATGCGCGTGAGGTGATCTAAAGGACCCTGGTGTGCTGGACTCAATTGTAGACCACAATTCTCAGGATTGTGTCATTATTATTCATTTCTTTGTGATTTGATCTAATTACCCTGTGCTACAAATTTCAGTCTCTGTAATTAATGAGACAAGATTGATGATGGTAATGCTAATGAGGCAGGATGCAATCTACCGCATTAGGCTGTATCTTGAGTTGTTTGCTCTTGAGATGTACAAAAAGATTGACCAGGCAAGCAGACCTGCACTGAGACCCTCCTAGACCCAGGAGTAGACAGATGCCAAGACCAAGATCAATGGCAATCTCCAAAGAGCACCAGGCCCACAGACACTGAAAGGAAACAAGGGCCTACCTCCTAAACAGTGATCCAACACAGAGAGAGACACCCTTCCCCTGGACCTACTGTCCTGAATCTGGACTTAACAATGTCCTAAAGTGTCAGAGAATAAGAAATGATTGTGTCTTAAAGTTTTCTCCGTGTGGCATTTTTGTTACTCCAGCACCAGAGAGCTAAGACACACAGCTTGGGTCAGGTAGGGCTCAGTCTTCAGTGACTTCTTTGATGTATAACACTTTAAGGAGTTCTTTGCAGCAGAATTGCTCAATGCAATAGGTCATTCGATGTCTTGCTGCTTCTTGTGTGGACAGAGATCATGCGGCCAAGGAAAATGCAATCCTGAACAACTCCCTTGATCATGATGTGGCTTATTGGTCCATCTGTGTTTTTTTTAACGATGCAAGGTGATCTATCCTATCGAAGCTGCAGTCTCTGGACTTACTTAATAAGCTCTTCACTGACAGCAAGCGGCATTGTATTGTTAGCACATCACAGATTGCTAATGAGTCTTCCTCTAGCTCACATGACAATTCTTCTTCATGCAGTCCAGCTTCTTAGATTATTTGTTCAGCATACACATTAAGTATCATGAAAAGATACAACCCTGACACACACCTTTCCTGATTTTGAACCAGCCTTTGTTGTGTCAAATGGCTGGCGCTCATGTACATACATACCAGCACAAGGAAGTATTCTGGAATTCCTATTCTTCACAATGTTAGCCATAATTTGTTATGATCCATGTGGTCGAATACCTTTGTATAGTTAATAAAACACAAGTAAATATATTTTCTAGTATTCTCTGCTTTTAGCCAAGGTTCATCTACTGTCAGCAATGATATCTTTTAAATCTTCTGAAACCCCCATGCATACCTGGCAATTCCCTGTCAATGGACTACTGTAACTATGTTTTATGTGTTTTCAGCAAATTTTTATGTATGTGCCATATTAATGAAAACTGTTTGATAATTTCCACATTCTACCTGATCACCTTTTTTTGGAATGGGTACAAATATGGGTCTCTTCCAGTCAGTTGGCTGGTTAACTTTCAAATTTTTTGGCATAGACAGTGAGCGTTTTCCAGTGTTCTGTCAGCTTGTTGAAATATGTCAGTTGGTATGCCACCAATTCCTGGAGCCTTGTTTTCGGTTTGCACATCTTCCTTCAGTACCACTGATTCTTGACCGTTTGCTACCTTTAGACATGGCTGAATGGCACCAGTTCTTTTTGGTGCAGTGACTGTGTATTCCTTCTACCTTCCTTTGATGCTTCTAGCATGAGTCAGTCTTTGGCCCATAGAATCCTTCAGTAGTGCAACTCAAGACTTAAGTTTGTTCCTCAGCTCATCGGGTTGAGAGATGTGGCATGTATCCTGCCCTTTTGATTTTGTCACATCAGGTCTTTGAGATTTCCTTTTAATACCTTACTCTGCCATTTGAAATACCTTGCTTAACTCTTATCATTTCTTCTCCTCATTGTAGTTACTTTATGCCCAAGGGCAAGTTTCAGACTCTCTTGTTTTTGTTTCATACACACATGGCTTTACTCCAAACAAAACATGTTTAGACATGTCTCTGTGATCGGTGGATGGCTGCAGACAAGCTCTCTCAGTAATACATTGGCCTTGGCCCTGTTAGGGACACACACAGTTCCAATCAAACAGTGACTGTCCAAAGGATCGGCCGGGCCAGTTTAATTCGAGGCAGACAGGATAGCACAGAAGGTCAGCTCACTCAAAACACATCGCCATTGAGTTGGTCCACTCACTGAGACCCTGTAGGACAGACTAGCACGGCCCTGTGGGTTTCAGAGATCGGGACTGTTTTTTTTAACTGGGAGTTAATACATGTATCTTATCATTCCATAGTTCAATTGCATCAAGCAGTATTGTACAATTACTACTAAAACCAGTTTCCAAACATTCTTTTCCTTCCTGGACTCCTTGACATCGTCTCCCTCTTACGACCACCCTCACCCCCACCCACGTCATACCTTCCTTCTCAGGAGATGTGTGTCGTCAACGTCATACCTTCCTTCTTAGAGTGGCGAGGGTCATCGCGCCAGACCTAAGCACATCCTTCCCTTCTCTGTCCAGTGGAAACAAACCCTTCCCCTTGTAGGGTTCTTTGAACTTAGGTTCAGCTCTTTTCAAAGACCTAATCTGTGTAAAGCGAGGTTTTCGACTTTGGATGAGCCAAATGGGTCCTAGGACTTGGACTGGAGCTTTGAGTCCATTTTCTCCTGGGACTTCCAAGTGAGGGACCCATCCATAGTTTCCTTCTCAGCAGCATGCATGAAACCGTTCACGAAGCCACCTGGAGCCGTGTGGTGGGATGCTAAGTAGATGGACTTGGAGCTAGGTGACCGGAGCGCAGATGTGGCTCTCTTGCCTCTCATCTTTGTGATTTGGGGAACGTTTGTGCATTTCGATGCTCTCATCTGCCAAAGAGTACAGCCTGCTCATGTCTGCTTGCGAGCAGGAATCAGGCTCACAGCTCTGAAGGGGTCTCACATAAAGGCTCGCTAGCCTGTTTTTGGCCATTCCATTGGTGCTCTCGCTGCTTTTCAGAGGTTTCTGCTTAAAAGGGGGTGGGGCCTGGTTGAAATACACAGGAGAGAAGCCATGTGGTTTGGCTGTTGAGAGCCTGGGTCAGGGAGAGAAGCAGGGCTGGCCCCGCCACTTTCCTGATGTGTGGCCTTGAACAAGTGACTTTCTCTCTGCTTCAGTACCTTCAACTGTTCATTGTACTACGCACTCCACTGGATACCTTCATGGGTCTCCGGGCAGTGCAGAGTTCGGTCGTCAGTTACTAACGAAAGTGAAGTGACTAATTCACCCAGAGGCACTTCAGAAGCAACACTTGGGTGTTTCTGATCCTGAAAGTTACACTCTGAAACACACAGAAACTGCTCGGGTATAACCGTTGGCTTTTCTGTGTCATGTTTGTTTCGCGTGTACTGAGTTCATTTAGGAAAACCTCTGTGAGCTCAGCACATATTTGATACCCAGAAGAAAGGGCCGTCCAGTGTGTTCTGTCGTTTGACTTCGGGTGTAAGTGGCCTGAAGGAAGTCTCGGCTGCTAAGTAAAGGTTGGTTGTGCAAGCACACCCAGCCACTGTGCAGGAGAAGGAGCTTGTGGCTTGCTCCTGTAAAGACTGTTGTTGTTGTTGTTGTTGTTGTTGTTGTCAGGTGCCGTCGAGTCAGCGCCGACCCACAGCGACCCTGTGCACAGCGGAAGGAAACACTGCCCGGTCCTGCACCATCCTCACCATGGTTCCCATGCCTGAGCCCATGGTTGCAGCCACTGTGTCCGTCCACCTTGTTCAAGGCCTTTCTCTCTCCTGCCCCTCCACTTGGCCAAGCATGATGTCCTTCCTCAAGGACGGGTCTCTCTTAACTACATGTCCAAAGTATGTCAGATGAAGGCTACCCATCATCTGACACACAGATTGGTTTGTCCTTTTAGCAGGGCGGTACTTTCAGTGTTCTTCCCCAGAATTGACAGAAAGGCAACAAGTTTGATTTGGTCTTGCTTGGGTGTATATAAGGAACCCTGGTGGCCGAATGGGTGTACATCGGGCTGTAACTGCAAGGCCAGCAGTTTGAAACCACCAGCCAATCTTTGGGAGAAAGAGTATCGTTTGGAAACTGACAGGTGCATTTCTACCCTGTCCTATAGAGTTGCTATGTGTCAGCATTGACTCCATGGCAGTATGGTTAGTTTTTGGTTTGGTGGCACAGTGGGCAAGTGCTCAATCACTAGTCTGAAAGGTTGGCAGGTCAAGCCCACCCAGAGGCTCCATGGGAGAAAGTCCTGATCATCTGTTCCCATAACGATTTCAGCCAAGAAACTCCATCAGGCAATTCTACTTGGTCACGTAGGGGGTGCTAGGAGTTGAAATCACCCTAGTGGCACCCAACATGCGTAGCATGAACAGCCGTAATAGACATTCAACTCTCCTATTCACGCACCCACCCTCTCCCCATGCTGACCAGAGGGCTTCCTGCAGGCCGTGCCCGCACTACCCCTAATAATGTGCCCCATGCTTGGGCTCCTCCGCTTACAGGTGTGGTGAGTAACACTACTGTCCACCTCTCTCTTGGCAGGTCATTCAAGCCCGATTTCATCCTGGTGCGCCAGCACGCCTACAGCATGGCCCTGGGCGAAGACTACCGCAGCCTGGTCATCGGCCTCCAGTATGGAGGGCTGCCTGCTGTCAACTCCCTCTACTCCGTCTACAACTTCTGCAGCAAGCCCTGGGTGGTAGGTGGCAGGCCAGCTGACCTGAAAGGGCTTGTGAGGGAGTGGGTGTCCTACCAGCCCGGCAACAGGCCCCTTCCCCAGCACAGAAGCCTCAGTAGTGAAAAGAATCTTATTTAAGTGACAAAGCAAGTCACTTGGCCTTCAGGGCCTATCCTTGGTATCACGGACAAACAAACATTATGTAACACAACCACGAGAGCCTAGGATTATAACAGGAGCAGGTAAACGCAGGTACCATCCTTATCAATGCGCGTAGCAACCAACACCTTTCATCAAACACTAACGAGGTACCAGGAACCCATGCTGGCAGGTGCTCACTTCATCTTGTGAGGCGGGCATGGGTATTTCAGTTGACGGGGCAGGAGGCTCAGTGTCCAAACAGGGAAGTGGCTCGCTTGGGTTCCCCCAGCCAGGGAATGGAGAAATCCGAGTTTGAGCTCAGCACTGTCCAGCTCACAAGACTTGACTTCTCTTCCTAGACGCTCAGTTTCAATAGCGGCGTCTCTGTTCACATTGCCACATGTTACCTCTAAGAGATCTTTCCTAAAACAGTAGCTAAGTCCCATGATAGCTCTTCCCCTGCTGAATTGGTTCCCCCAAATGGTTATTTCCACCTGAAAGTACATATGCAATGGCTTAGCTGTTTATTCTCTCTCTTCCCCCCAGAAGTAATTCATATTTACCAGATCACAAGTATTGATTGAGCACCTTCTGTGTTCCAGACACTGGTCTGGCAGCGACGCCTCAGTGACTATAGCCAACCAGCATGTCAGTCCCCAAGGATCGGACATTCTAATGGGGCAGGGCCGTGTGTGGTTATATTAATGTATGTCATAAGATTGATGTCATAGGTCACTAATGTAGGTCATAGGCTGGTACCACATAACATTATAAATGGAAACGGTCACAGTTTTCCAAGGGGGACAGGAAATGCGGAGGTTGGTGTGGGTGGACAGTGAGTCCCCTGAAGTCACAGAGCGTGTCCCTCTGCTGTGGTTTGCTGCCTCTCTGGGTGACTGCCTGGTGGTGCAGGGCAGTTGTTAAGAGCTCGGGTTCCAGAGCCGAACTCCGAAGGCCAGGTTTCTTCACTGATAAGCTGTGCAGCTTTGAGCAACTTGCATAATCTCCCCACGCTTGGTTTCCTGGTTTGTAAAACGATGACAATGAAGAGTAAGACCTACCTGGTTATCGTTTAAGGAGCTCTGATGGTGTCGTGGGTTACAAATTGGGCTGCTAACCGTCAGGTCAGCGGTTTGAGCCCACCAGCTTCTCTGCAGGAGAAAGATGAGGCTTTCTGCTCTTGGAAACGTCCAGGGGCAGGCCTGTAGGGTCCCTGTGAACCGAAATGGACTCAATGGCCAAATAGGACCTCAGTGCCACCAAGTCGATGCCGACTCAGAGCAGCCCTACAGGACAGGGTAGAACTGCCCCTGTGGGTTCCCGAGACCAAGCCAGGTCTTTCACCGGACTCGGTGCCACGAGTTCGGTTTTTTATTAGGTCCGTGAAGTACTCAGAATAGTGGTTGCCACCAAGTAGACCCTCAGTGGATGGGGACAGTTGTTGCCGGTGAGTCTGGAGTAGGGGCTGTGCGTGACACTGGTTGAATGAAAACATTCATTAGATCAAGAGACAAGCGTCACTTTCCACGCCCGTCACCCTGGCTCTGCCTTCCTCCGCCTCCCCAGAGTGTTTTGAGTAGACAGCATCTTCAAGCGTAGGAGCCCAGCCTTGTTCTTCCTCAGCCTTGACGGTAGCAACCCCAAACCAACCCAGCCCCAAGCAACCCCACTGAGTTGACTCCCGTTGATTCGCGTGACCCCAGAAGGACAGACTGGAACTCCACGTAGGATTCCCAAGGCCGAAATCCTTACAGAGACAGATTGCCACAGCAGCTGCTGGGTTTGAACCATCAACCTTTCAGTTAGTGACCGGTGTTTTAGCCCCTGCACCACCAGGGCTCCTCAAGATGGGGGCAGCTACCAAGGGCACAGAGCCCTTGGTGGGCATCTGTTATCCGGTCCTCAGAACGAGCCTGGGACACGGGCTGTGTTAGTCTGGGTACTTTAGAGAAACAAATCCACAGAAACTCATGTATAAGAGAGCGTTTTAGATAAAGGGTAAGTGCACATCAAGCAAACATCCCAACCCAGTGCTGCCCAAGCCCTCAAGTCCAACATTAACCCGTATGTCCAACACCAGTCCACAAAGTCCTCCTCCATCTCACAAAACACGCACAATGATGCTGACTGCAGGAGGAAAGCCGAGTCAGTGAATGTGTAAACATCTCAGCGCTGGCAGGGGTCTCCACATGGCTGCTCCATCACCCAGGGCTGCATCGGGGTAGGTGCATGTGGCTTCTCCTCGGGGATGTCTTGCAGGAAGTCAGCCTTGCCAGCTGAAGCTGGGAACTGCTAAGGAAGCTGCACCTTGGTGCGACCATCACAAAGCAAGAGACCCGAGAATTACAAAGGCGAGGCTCACCAAGCCATTTATCCCTCCACCCTTCAATTAACCCCACATGTGTTTATCGGCCAGGTTGGCACCATAAACTAACTACCTCACGGGCCCTGTTCATCTCTCCCTGGTTGAGATGGGAAACCATGGCCGGCCAGCCTCCCGCACCTGGTAGTGAGCAGAGGAAGTGGCCTCTTCCAGAACCTTGTGTTTAACCATGGCACTGCCCTCCCTCGCGGCGTAAGCTCAGAGGACCTTGCTCCCACGCCATCACTCCTATTTCTGAGTCACTCAAAGCCCTCCAAGTGGGGTCCAGGTGGTCCTGCACCTGCAGGTTGTACTCCGAGAGCTGACAGATCAGTGGTGGGATTCCTGGCTGGCACAATGGTTAAGTGTGAACCGGTTAAGTGTGACTTATGGTTAAGTGTGACTATGAACCAGAAGGCTGGTGGTTCAAACCCAGCTACAAAGGTAGTTCAAATGCTTTGGCAAGGTCCCCACCCTGAAAACCATAGGGGGGCAGCTCTGCTTTGCAGACATGTGTTGCCCTGGGAATTGGCCCCTGCAGCAGCCCCAGCCTGATGGGGAGGGTGCCCCAGGGACCCCCGCCGCTCTCTCTGTTGTCTCAGCATTGAGTCCCAGTCCAGTCCAGCACAAGACGTAATGCCTGTCCTCACCACTCGAAAGGTAAGGCCACTTGAAAACTGCCGCTTGCTTCTGTTTCACAACTAGGACTGACCTCCCTCCACCCACCCACCCACCCCCACCCCCCACTTTACCATCTGGGGGCATTCCAAGCTCCTTGACTCAGCCTCTCAGGCTCCTCCTGGTGATGACGGCCACCTTGGGGCCTTGTTTCCCAGTGCTCTGCACCCAAGGCCACACCCAAGGCAGTGCTGCGTGCTTCAGCGCACCCAGCCTCTCTGCCCCCACCTCCACTCTGCTCCTCCCCCAGGGCCATAACCCATTCCTCCCCCCAGCAGGCATTTGTCTGTGTCATCCGTGGCAGCCAGTGCCCCTCCAGACTGGTAGGCCATACCCCATTTGTCCCCAAATGGAGCTCCTGAGAACGCCGGGTGGTATGTATGGGATCGGGAGGGATGGTGCCTCTCGGGAACTGCCATCTGGCTTTCAAGCAATTCCCACCTCAGTGGCCGAATAAAGAGCCCTGGTGGTGCAGCAGTTAAGCACTCCCTGGTGAGGGGGTGGCAGTTTCAACGCACGCAGGGGGCAGGGGCTCTGTGGGAAGACAGGGAGCTCTAGTTCCCTTTATCACCAAGAAAACCCTGTGGGGCCGCTCTGCTATGTCCACTGGCCGCCACCAGTCCAGGCGGCACACGACCGCAACAGTGGTGAAGGGAAACTAAAGTCGCCTGCCACAGGTTAGCTCCAACGCAAGGTGTCACAAAGGAGCCCCTGCGGCTCTGTGGGTTAGGCACGGAGGCTGGCAGTTCAAACCTATTTGCCGCTCTGCAGGAAAAAGATGAGGCTGTCTGCTCCCGTAGAGATTTATAGCCTCAGAAATCCTAGGTAGTGTTCTGTGAGTCAGACCCGACTCAAGGGCAGTGGTTGCTTGACGCAGGTCAGGGTAAGAAACGTGCCCTGTTGCATTTGCATGTGCCTGGACTTGGGGAAGTAGATTGTCGGGGCTTTCTTCTGAGCCACCCCTGAGTACACTCAGCCTCCTGCTTTTCAGTTAGCAGCCCCGGACATGAACCACTCACACCCCACCCCTCGGGGCACTGACCCAAACATGGCCGTGCTACACCAGGGTGGCACCTGAGGCCAAGGAACCTTCTTGAAGGGGTGGGGCTGGAGTGGGGAGAAGTGGGTGGGGCTGTAAAAGCCGAGAAAACACACATTCTTATGAATAATAATGGAGCCCTGGTGGCATAGGGGTTGTATGTTGGGCTTCTAACAACAAGGTCAGCAGTTCAAAACCACCAGCTGCTCTGAGGGAGAAAGAGGAGGCTTCTACTCCCGTAAAGAGTTCCCATCTCAGAAACCCATAGTTCTCCCCTGTCCTATAGGGTCACCGTGAGTCAGCATAGACTCGACGGTGGGGAGTGAGACCCCATGAGCCTCTGTGACCCAGGCCCTGGTCTTGATGGCAACCCCCTGAGGGCAGATGTCTTCGTCTGTCTGAATGGACAGTTGAGGAAATTGAGACTCGGCCACCCGCGATGACTTCCCAGGTGGCCCAGCTTGTACGTTGGCACTCAGCGGGGCTGGAGGCACAACCCGAGCTGGAAGCTAAGACATGAAACTGTTGCCTAGGGTGACAGGCAGGGATGCAGCACAGAGGTTGTGCTGTGGACAAGGCCCTAGCAGTCCGTGCTGAGGACCAGACTGTGGACGGGCGAGCTGAGCTCTGTGGCCTGGCAGACGCGGGCGGACAGCTGCTGCGCGGCATTGGGCTGGAGGGTGGGGGCGTGAGTGTTTGGCCCAAGGTTCTGGCCTTCAACCATCTCCAGGGAACAGTCACTGGGGAGGTTGGCGCCAGGGCCGCGGGGGGCCGCTGTCGCCTGTCACCTTAGGGAGAGCGCTGGCTGACCCTCCGCTCCTCCTTTCTCCTGCACAGTTCTCACAGCTCATCAAGATCTTCCATGCCCTGGGGCCCGAGAAGTTCCCGCTGGTGGAGCAAACGTTCTTCCCCAATCACAAGCCAATGGTGAGTACCCTGGCTTTCCTTGGCTTGTCTTTGCAATGCGGGCGCAGACCCAGGCGGCGACGGGGCCCTCGGTCCCTGTGGACGGAGCAGGGAAAGAGGTTGTATCCGGGCTGCAGGTGGAGTCCCTGGCCTGATGGACAAATGAGAGAGGTGGCAGCCTTCTGCGGGGGAATCGGGAGCCACTGGAGTAGGAGGTTACGAATCGAGCTCAAGGCTGTTTCCGTGGTGGGGTGAGTCCCCGGGACCGCGCCGGGGACCTGGCTTTGACCGCACTGGCAGCAAAGCCCATTGGTGTGTGTGTATTGGTTCTGAAAGGGCAGTTTCCTTGGGTGCCCCCTGCATGTCCTGATTTCTGAGGCAGCTTTCCAAAGTGGTTTCGGCTTCGTGTAGAACAGGCATCCTCAAACTACGGCCTGCGGGCCACATAAGGCCCCCGCCGAGGACATTTATCCAGCCCGCCGGTGTTTTTGCCCCGTTTGTTTTTTTACTTCAAAGTAAGATATGTGCGGTGTGCATAGGAATTTGTTCGTAGTTTTTTTTTAAACTACAGTCCGGCCCTCCAACGGGAGGGACAGTGAACTGGCCCCGTTTAGAAAGTTTGAGGACCCCTGGTATAGATAGAGTCTGTGGCGGGCGCCACATGTGGAGAATGCCTGTGTTACATGGCAGGGGCCGTCTGTCCTTTGGCAGCAGGCTGAGCTGCTCCTGGCACCGCTGTGTGGGGGGTTGACTTCCTTACACTGGTCAGACTGTGGTCCCAGGCTTGGCCTTGCGAGTGCTGGGGGTGGGGTCCATCATTGGTGAGCTCTGGGAGGGGGTGGCCTGTGGTCTGGTGGGGGTGGGAGTGAGTGGGAGGAGGCACATTGGCTTTAATAAAAGGGTTTTGTGAGGTCCTGATGTTCCCAGCCGGAGGAAGCCACACTGGAAATTCCAGGCAGGCCAGACACGGGGACTGCTGCCTGCACCTCTCCTTCCTCTGCTCCACCAGACTGGGAATTTGGGAGTAAAAACAATGAGCAAGGGGAGTTAGGGCCCCATTTCAGAAATACCTGTCCCACCTGTGAATGACTTCATAATGCCATCAACCAGTCAGCCTGGCCCACGGTGATACCACGAGTCAGGGTAGACCTGTGTGCATTCCATGGGAGTTTCGGGCCAATTTCCCCAAAGCAGATCACCAGGCCTTTCTTCCACAGTGCTGCTGGGTGGACTCAGTGAGCATCCAAGGTGGTCATCATTTGCAGCCCCCAGGGACATGAGAGATCCAGGTTCCACGGGATCAGGGAGGGATCCCTAGCCTCCAAATTGGGAAGCAAGGTCATGGTTGGATTAGCAGTCAAAAGGAAATTGGGGCTGCCCTTCCCAGAATGCCTCCTGCCCTGGGAAAGGACTGGGGCAGGCTGGGGACCTGTCTGCCCATTCGAATCCAAGGCAGGCAGCAGGCCAGGCTGGCATGGCCCTCTACTGCGGATCAAAGCTGGACGCAGCCAGGACACAAGAATACAGAGACGGGCAATGTGTGATAGAAATAAAACCACTTTACTGTTTAGAATAAAGGACACACTATAAAAAGTGTACATTATGCAACATTACAAGACAATATACATTCACGGAATATAAAATTCATAAATAACATGGAGGAAAACTGTAAACAGAGCTACAAAATTTCGCAACAAATACATTCCTTCCAGGCGGGTTCTCTCTGGATGGTATCTCTCTGTCACTTCTAGGGCCTAGGACAGCAGGCAGTCAGGGGGGTGGGGACCCCAAGCACAGCCTGCTCTGCTCCCCTTCTCTCAACTCCCAGGAGCCAACCTGGAAATTGCTGGCCCCCACCCTGCCCTCGACACCCCATTTTGCTTTGTGTTGCCATCAGGATTTTCAAAGGTTTCTTTTGGAGCCCAAGACTCCAATGACAGTTCACTGGGGGTGCCCAGGGAGCCGAAGGTCTAGGGGCCATCCTAGGGTAACCCACATTGGTGACAGATAAGCTGGAGCGCTGGAGGGCAGGAAAAGGGGTCTGTCTTGCAGGAGCTCCGTGTCTCCAAGACAGAGCTGTTCCGATTTGCTGCTTCTCTTGCTCGAGAAGCAGTGTGGAGAATGGTGTCCCTGGGCCACAGCCAGCTGCCCCAGTGGGCTCTATCGTTACCCACTCCGGCCAGCCTACAGCTCTGTCCTGAGAGGGGAGCACCCAGACCCGGCTAACCAGCGTCCCCCCAGCGGGGAGGCAGAAAAGGTGGCCAGGGGTAAAAGGCTCTTGTAATCCGTTCTCTCGGACCTCCTTGGATTTCAGGAGAAACTGTGGTTAAGGAAGTGGGAGTGACCAGCTGGCTGCCCAGGGCCAGACGCCACAGGGCAAGGCTGCGAACATACTTCCCATTTCCTTCCTCCCCTCCTTCCTGCTAGAGGAACTGCTGGAAATCCTGATGGGAGGAGGCTAGAGGCTTCTGGGTGTCACTCCCCCTCCACCCCTGATCTGCCCACCTGGCTGCCTGTACCCAAGTGAGGTCACCCTCCAGTCCACTGTAGAATTTGATTCAGGAACATGGCGGCATGTGGGCTGGATTGTTCATCTTCTCCTTTTAAACACAATGTACAGATATTACAGCCTACATCTGACACAAGATTTAGCAAAATAGAACATCCAGCATATGATTGAAAGACAGAAGTGCCTCAGCTACATATATGATTTTTAAATTACACAGTAAGTGAAACAGGTGAAATAAACAAAAGCTATAGCTTGTCGAAAAGCTCAAAAACCGCCCTCAGACCCCCTCCCTCTGCAGAGACCCCCGCTGGGCCTGCGACCTGAACTTCTAGCCCAGCCTGGCAGGTTATGGCTCCACCCACCTGCTGCTCTGTAGGGATACTGCTCAGACTCCCCTCCCTGTGTGAAAGACCATGACCCCCCCACCCCTCACCAGGGACCAGCTATGGCCCAAATGCCACCATGAGTCGAAGCTCGTTCTCCGGTCACTAAGGGCACTTGTGCGGGTTGGGTCAGGAGTTCTGCCTTTTAAAACTCAAGGTCAAGATCAAGATAATCCCCACGCAAGCAGGATCAGGCTTAAAAGCCACTGGCTGGCTGTCCTCCGCTCCTTCCCCTTGAATCCCCCACCCTGGAGAGGGCCACCTCCTCTGGTTTCCTTCTGGCAAATGTTACCATGAGGAGGGGAAAGGGACAAGGGGGTGAATCAGCCCTCAGGGAACCCCAGCCGGCACCATCTCCTCCCTCTAAGGTACTGCCAAGTCCCGTGCCTGGGACTGTGTGTGTGTACACGTGTGTATGTAAGACACTGCAGTGTGGTGTCTACTTCCTTTTCCTCCTGGCTTGACTGGCAGCTCTGTTTCCTAGGGTGGAATGAACTGAGGATGCAAACATACAGAGCAGAGGATGAACCCTTGGCATCTGGGGAGAGATTCAGATGGTGCACATTCAGGGGCACCATTCCTACCGTGCCCGACTCAGCCAAATTATACTCTCGGCATCTCCCTTTCCATCCGAAGGCTTGAAAGGATTGTATTTCCGGGGATAATGGATCATCTAGTTTTATTTCCAGAAAACACGTAACAGGAACCCTCCCGCGGAGTGTGGCATAAGTTAGATGCTGTGGGGACCACCGAGGTGGCATGGCCTCCCCACTGGGCTGGGTGGAGGCATAGCCCAGAAGAGGTGGAGATTGAGCCAGGGTGGTGTCCTCTGCAGCTTGGCCCTCTCTGTGCCCCGTCTCCTGGCCCACACCACACAGCGCCCATGGGAGCCAACCCAGGTAGGCAGTTACAAAGGTGAGGGGCAGAGGTCAGCTGGCCCCCATATCTGGTGGACAGAAGGCTCAGAGTGTCAGTGGAATTTCAGATCTTAACTTCAGTGTGTGTGTGTGTGTGTGTCGGTGGGGGGGAGTCAACTTGGAATGTCATGATTTTCTTTACACAAGCACTGACAACAAAATGGAAAAGAAACTATTGGCGTATTTAACAGCATTGAACAGAATTCTGTGTCCTGTAAAAAAAAGAAAACATTAGCTTATGTCCCCGTGTGGGTATATGCAAAGGTGTATACAAACACATCCCCCTAGGTGAGCTAAATGCTACTTCGGAAAGAGTAGTCTCTGCCCCCGAGTCTACTTGGCTATATCTGTGGGAAGTGTCTGGCGTGTGTTTCTCCCATTTACATAGAGGCAAAGCTTCCTGTGGGATCGGCAGAGTTGTTTGCTGGGAGCGAGTCGTGTGGGCGGCCTGGGGAAGACAGACAATCATCCAAGCCTCTCCCCTGAGCGTTTGTACAAAACCCAGTTCCCACTGCACTGTCGGTGACCCTACATTGTGCAGAGCACAGCCATGCCCCCAGCCCCTGGTCTTCATGGCTGGGACCTCTGGGAAGCAGACGGTCAGACTTGTCTCCCAAGTGCCTCCAGGTGGCGTGGGCTCTCTGAAACTGCCTGCCTTTGGATTAGCAGGGGAACGCTTAGCCATCTGCACCACCAGGGGCCCCAAGGGCTTTTGTACAAGGCAAGCAGGCGGGCTCTGGGCCAGGCAGTTGTTGAACTCTTCAACTTGTGATTCTGACCTGGCTGGTTACTCCTGGGCCTGCCATCTGGTCGATCAGCATCTCGGGGCTGGGGGACCGCGTGTGACCTTCGGCCCTCTCTTGCCGCCCTCCCTCCTGTCTGCAGACAGACACAGTCTGGGGGGAACATGCCATAGCATCCTCTCAGCATGGAAATCCCCCATGTGCCTGCAGTCTGTCTAGTGGCTGCCCCTGACTGATCCTGAAACAGCTGGCCTCCCGCAACGCCCTCCTCTGTGTCCTTTAGGGTCTGGGTGGAGGCAGGGAGGGGCAGGAGGAGAAAGAGGGCCGGGGATTACAATGCCCAAAGGGAATAGTTTGTCCATCTTTGTTTTCCTAAAAAAATAGAGATTATATTTTCACAAAGAAGAGGGGTCCGCATTCCCTTTCTTTCTGGCCTGGCACCAACCATTCCCAGGGAGAAATGGGGTGG